TGCTTGGTTCATACTTAGGGGTTATAGCTAGAGATCCTATTTTGGCACCGATCTCATTCTCAGATTGGCGCAATAAAGGGATGGAACCTTTTAAAAATAGAATGCTAGCTGAAGTAGAGGTAAGTATCATAACAAATAGTCTGATGTTATTTATGTTTATTTAATAATTAAAATCATTTAACATTTATTAGGCCAAATTTGAGTTCCCTGCAAACATAAAGCATTGGATACTACAGTCTCTTGGATCCAATTGGTGTAATTATAAAACTAGTTTGAAGGCAGAGCACTGGGATAGTAGACCACTACAGGAGATTATGGAGGCTGTCCCTGCAGGAGTAAACCCAGTGCAGTGGTGTCAAATTTTTAATAAGTGGTCACAACCTCAGGATAAGGTGAGTTAGCAAAATAAACAATGTTATTAAGTTTTCAAAAAAATAAAATTGATATGACGATTATTCATTGTAGGAGAGGGCGTTAAGAAATTCAGAAAATGCAAAAAAAAAAACAAAAGTGTCCGCATACGATGGGTCGGGTGAGCTCTGTCAGGAGACAGGAAGAAACGACACATATTCAAATTGCTTATATATTTATATTTATATGAAGGAAATTAATTTTCAGTTTTTTGCAGTCTATACGAGATCGCCTGCTATTATGGCAAATCAATCGCAAGCGTAAAAATGGATCATGGTCATCTGAGGAGGCCAGAGGAAAATGGGTAAAATCGTAACATTTCACATGATCGATTTATTGAATGATAACTTTTTTTTTTCTAAATCTAGGCACGTGCTTCTGAAATGCTTGCCGAGGAAGGGTTGACGCTAGAAGATTAAAATTTTGAGGCCAATGAAAAAGTTTTCAAAGCAATCATGGGGCCAGAACACCCAGGGAGGGTATGTACACAGGGTTTTGGGGTAACTCCAAGCAGATATTTTCCTCATAACACAACGACTCGATGCATCAACAGTGGAGGCAATACTGCATTTGATCGAGTTGTAAAACTTGAGGAGGTGGTTCAAACACTACATAGTGAGGTTAGACAATTCATGAAAAATTATCAGAGACAACATCCACTACCAGGAAGCTCAACTATGGTATGTAAAATTATAAAATTAGATATTTTCATTTATTAATTTATTTATCACCTTCTTTTTTACTGATGACTTATATGTTAATAATAGGGAGATAATGATAAATTTTTGCCTAATTGACATCCAAAGTGTAGAAGAATGGAAGGCGTAGTATAAATGGGCACAATATTTTCATTATGTATGGCCAATGTTTTGAAATATTATAAGAGAAGTGCATACTATTTAGTTCAAAGTTGTTGAATATATACAATTATGAATTTGTTTTAAGTTTCTTCTAGTGTGAATTCTGTGACAACCTTTTTTTCCTTAGTGCATGAGGTTGTGCTTCCTTTTTGTGCATCAAAATTTTATTCTGTTGTAAAGCTAGATGTGTGTTTGAAAATTCCATGTTGAAGATATTCCATATTTGGAGCTAATTGTAGAATTCCTTATGGCAAAGCCTTCAATGTAGTAAATATTATTTAATGATTTGGTGCGGCATTAGCTTGAACCATCAAAGCACTCTTGTCTTCTTTTTTGCATTGAACATATGACACATTCTATAATTTTTCTACTTTTATTAATTGGTGGTTTAGTTTTTTTGTTTGTATGAAAGCAGTTACTGTATCCAGCAATTGGGATATAGCAGTATTTAATGCAAATATTGTTCTTCTCTTAGTTGTTAGTTTTCTGATACTTCTATTTTCATAAAAATAGCTGTAGTTAGCTAAGCTCTTCAAGTATTTTATCATGATATCAGAGTCATTTGCATAATTGCATAATGGACACCTCTCATAACTCTTCTACTAACATCCTCCTCCCTCTTCTCAGACTACCTCCACTGAAACCTTCATGCCTGCTTTTTTGAAATTATTGTGGTCATTCATCATCCCCTGCTTCTCCTACTCATTTAACACCTGATCTCCACTCTCTACAAAATGTTTTCTTATCAAGGCTTAGGTCAAGTACTAATCGGCAACAGTACAACTCTTCCCATTGTTTACTCTGGCAAAGGACTTTTATCTACCCTCTCTCATAGGCTCACTATACCTTCCTTCTTACATGTGCCATGATTATAACATCTATTATGTTAATCATAAAAATTGGTTTTTTTTGCATTTTATTTTTTTTAATCGACCTTACCTTTTAGCAGCGGTTTTAGCACTTGCTAAAACACCCCTACAGCAGCAATTAAAACATCGCTGCTAGAGAAAGCAAATGCGGCGGATGTGCAGCGGATTTTAAACCGCTGCAAAAACAGCTGCTGTAGGTTAGAAAAAAGCGCTGCGAAAGCCTAATTTATTAGTAGTGTAAACTTTATGGATTTAAAAGATGTTATATATAAAACTTTAATATAAAATTTTCAATAAGTATTTCACCATAAAATAAATATTTCAAGAAAGAAATATATGGTAAAAGCTAAAAGAACAACAAGTAAAAATTTAGAGATGGAAAGCAAACTCAAGAACTCAAGAGATGTTACTCAGTTTTGTGTGTTGATTCTTTCCAACAATGATTTTGATCTCGCAAATGAAAAGAACTATTGGAATAAAATCAAGGCTTCTCCTCTCAAGATTTAGCATGTAAAGAGGAAAGAAAAAATGGAAGAATTGCTGGAGATTTTCTTGTTTGAGCAGCTCTTACATGAGGAAGAAGAGAGGTATTTAAAGAGAAAGGGTAAGTAAAGCCACATTTGAATAAAAATATTATTCTAATATGTTTTTTCACTTAATAATATTATATTTCATTAATAATTCATTTATATTAAATATATATGTGATTCAAATGGCTATAAAACAGCTAGCCACATGGGAAGATAAAAAAAGTCTTCATATGCATTCAAAATAGGGCTAAAATGGCTAGCAGCAGATTCTATTTAAATAATTAAGCAAAAAAATGAAGGTTATTAAATTTATTTAATAAAGTAATATTATATATTTCTATATCAAAAATAATATATAATTAATAAATATTTAGATTGTGAGTAAATTAAATCATACAAGTAATATTAGTGGACCACTAACATGCTACTACGATAATGTAAAATCCTTCAAGTTGTCCATGTTGGTCCATATTTATCTCAACATTTAATTGAACTTGAGTTATGTAATGTAAACCCCATAATTAATTATAATGCACATCATTACACCTGAAATACTTAGCACACAAATTAGATAATCCAAGCATATGTTTGTTATCATCAAAATCTCTAAAATAAGTCATGAGGTAGATAATATCAACAGTCCATACTCTATCATCTATATACACTCTAGTACGACTGGTAATACTCTTCATAATTTTTCTACAATCCACTTTTTGTCTCATATCTCATGAATTGATCAAACAGGTCATCCTTGAATCCCTTAAGAACTTCACCCATCATTTTGATGGTTTGACAGTTGAATTATCCTCTGCTTGGGATATTTTTATGCCATAAGTCTCTTCTACCATCAAGGCACTTCTTCTTTACCAGCACGACTCGTAAAACTCTCCGTAAATTTACTACATTCCATATTTTGTATCGCATCTCATGAATTGATAAAAAAGGTCGTCCTTGAACCCCTTAAGAACTTCACCCATCATTTTGATGGTTTGGCTGTTGAATTATCCTCTGCTTGGGATATTTTTAGGCCATAAGTCTCTTCTACCATCAAGGCACTTCTTCTTTGCTAGCACGATGCGTAAAACTTACCATGAATTTTATATAATTCATGTTTTGTCTTGTATCTCATGAATTGATCAAACAGGTCATCCTTGAATCCCTTAAGAACTTCACCCATCATTTTGATGGTTTGACTGTTGAATTATCCTCTGCTTGGGATATTTTTACGCCATAAGTCTCTTCTACCATCAAGACACTTCTTCTTTACTAATAAACTCCGGTCCTAGGAATGTCAAAGCTACTGCAACTATACATTCCAAAATTTTCACTTGCAAATAAAACTACTGATTTTAGATGTTAATGTCTATACTGCCTACACAAATTCATAGCATATATTCGGCTAACATAATTGTATTGGTCCCGCTCAAATTTTTTCCATCAAAAGAGAGAAATATTTGACAAGAACGTGCAGGACTTTTAACCAAGGGAAGCAATATTTATGTGCTAAATTATATATAAAAAAGCATTCGACTGAAACTCATGCCGAACGGACCTCGTTTCAAAATGACTAATTTATTCGCCTGATCGATCTCCAATATCAAGCGACCAATATTTATTAATACCAATGCTACGGTTGGTTGCATCTGACTTTTAGGGTCATAATCGATAAAGGTTATATGTATAATTAGGTCATTCTAACTAAGAGAAACACCATGTTCTAAAAGCAGAATTCTCTTGCGTTTATCACATCTTGTTCTTTAATTATCAAGTGAGGTTGCCAAGCAAATCCAACGATCTCACAGACTAAAAAGAAATCTGGCATGAATCAACCATTCACCTGATACCAATCACACCCTCAACTGCAATCAACGCCCTTGTAGTTAGATTATTCGTTAACGACAGAATGACAGATCTGAGCCGACGCTAGATTTCACCAAAGCAAAGGAACATAAGAAAATTAAAAGATTAAAAAAAAAAGTGATTTTACCACGCACACCAGCCATCTTCTCCCACCAGACAGAAAGACACCTATATGCAGATGATCGATCTATTTCACATTCACAGCTTCAATCAGTTCTAGCCTTTTTATCAAAACTTGGTTCACAGGCATGGGCGGAGCCCCCCCCTCAAATTTTTTTTTTTTTTAATTTTAAAGGGAATAGTTTGGAATATTTTAGGTATTTTAAGTATTTTGCCCCCTCTAGAAAAATTTTTTTGTCCTCATTTTATCAATCCTAAGCATTTTTGGCCATCCTCCACCCAAAAAATTTTTTTTGCCCACCTAAAAAAAAAAGCTGAATTTGCCCCTTTTCACAGGCGAGCAAGCTCAATTAGAAATTCCATGCTGATGCCCTGCATGGCCTTTTATTGCTCCCAGGCAAGCTGAGGCACAGCGAACACTTCCTCAGGAGTCCACGGCTCTTTGCAAAGACTTGCACGGTAGTTACCGCTGGATAAGCGAGGAGGTTATATGCTCCGATCGTTTTCATGTTCGATGACTCGTTAACAACATTGGCACCGGCGGCAACGGCAGTGGCTGAGATGATTAACGTTGCATGATGAATATGCAGTGTTGCATCGGGAACTGAGAAATTCCAGTCCGCAGCTGATGCAGCTCCGATATTATTTTTTTTTGGACATTTAGGTCATTTAAGGCAAACTCACACACACAACGCATACGCATAGACTAGAACCCTAAACCTCTTAATTGGAAGCCAAAGCTCTCAACCAATAGGCCAAGGAGAGTTGTGTGCAGCTCCGATATTGCCGGCAGCAAGATTTGCCTCCACTGAAGGCGCCAACGCGTCACTCTGCAATCACTGGCGAATGCAGTGTGGGGCCCGTGCCCACTGGCGGATGCAGTGTGGGGCCCTAGGGGCACGGCCCCCACTGACTTTGGTATGAACATTTAATTTGTATTATTTATTTATTTATGATGTTTTAAATATAGGATAAATCAAATAATTTTTTATCTTTTTCATCCTTCCTGTATAGGCAGCAAACGAGCCGACGGTAATTCACAAAATGTATTTATTTAAATAAAATAGAAATACAGATTCCATCCAATAGCATGAAAGTAAACCTAACTCATCTGCAGCCACAAGCTGGGCGTAAATTTGTTGAGTATGCATTTATTTATATATAAGAAAATTCATTTTCTCTATGCGGGTGGGACTAAACCCCACAGTATTTTTTCTTTTTTGTTTTCTTGTGGCCACGAAAAAAATTAAAAAAACAGTTATTAAACATATTATCTAAATATATTTTTTAAATAATGTTATTTAGGGTATATCTTAATGTTCTTAAACACATTATTTAAAAAACTGTTATTAAAAAATTA